CGCCAACATGGCCCAATTGCAACATCGAAGCAGAGCTACGTGGTTATGTATATTGCGAATCAGATTTAAGTACCAGTAATCTAATTATTATTCCATGCCCACGGCATGCATCGATTATCGATATGGCTGTGTCTCTAATTGCAATCCCAGCCATTGGCCTAGTAAGAGGACGGACCGCATCGGTTACATTGGGCTAATTATAAAGGGATGACGCTACAGAAACGTGTGATTGCCTCGCAATCAATTATTGCTATATGATATGAAATAACTATAATATCCGATAAAGCATATTTAATCAGATTGATACTTGGAAATTACGTATTAAACTTTTCGCACACCTTCTATAATTATAAAGACAATTTTACTCAATTACAATTGAATAACGTGATATCGTACGAAGAATTAATCTCGTAACATTTCTAAAAATTGTCGTCATTGTTTGTGAAGTTTCTTAATCTTTAAAGGATAAAGATCTATTTAAAAAAAAAAAATCTCACACAGCTTTTCCTGTGTAAGATTTGTTATAATTCGTATTGTTTTAAAAACAAATTGGAGAGAATAAAGGGCAATAGAAGTCGGGCGCAGAAGACACCGCGCAATTAAAAAACACCATTAATAAGTGACAAAAATCATTTATTCGAATAACGCTCTTCTTTTATTATGATGGCTTCTCTCTTCAGAGAAACAAACTAATTTACAATTTTTGAATCAACCATGAACTCCTCTCCACGTCGTGATAATTAAGATACAGAATAAATAACAGACAAAACTAAATGGATGAAAAAGAAAAAGAAGAAAAATTGAAAATATCAGAAACTATAATCGCATTGTCTTTCTTACCTCAAAAAATAGCACTGTTTCAGTGTCACTACAATAACTTTCTTATATTCTGTAAAAGTGAAATTCAATATGGTCTTAGTCTTTATAATTTTTCTCGTGATGTTTTTAAAAAATAATTCCGCGGGTTGAAAGGTCGGCGAGACTTTTTAAGCCTTTGTCTTATGTTTTATATTTTGAGATTAAGATATAAATCCTCTTATACGCGGTAGTTTGCGCAGTAACGCTAGAATGCTTCTCTTTCGTGGGAGCGAAATGTCAGATAAGTTTCGTCACGGCGCGGCGCGGCGCGGTGGCGCCGGTATTCACCGGAAAGGCGCTACTGCCTATATACAGAGGATGCCCATCATCGAAAAGAATTCCGCGCGCGTTTCACATACCGACGTCAACGTCGCGTGCAAGGCGGGGGATTGAAATAAGTCTTCGATATATATTTCCTGCATTCCACGTGAGAAATGCGCCGGGTGATATTTAGACAGGGTACCGTCGTCGTGTAGAATAGTGAAAGGGGGGGTTGCCGCCGTCGCCTCTCACCGAGAACTCGAACGGGATTGATGTACATTTTTATCGCGGTGGAGAATCGGGACGCCCTTTGAAAATTTATAATGCAATAACGCCCCCGACGGCGCCGGTGCCGTAAATATCCGGCTGTGCTGCATGCGAGATATTTGTATTGCGAAGGTGAAAAGCAGCGCCCTTGCAAATCGAAATTTCTATCCCTTTTTTTACTGATACCTCGAGAAAAACGTGTGACATTGTTCAAGCAACTCTATTTCAGACATAAAAGAGAATAGACGAAGATATTTTGCACGCGACACTGACAGTATTTTAAAATTTTTTCGTGCGCGACAAATTATTTTTGTGATGCTGATTGCAGGCATCAAAAAGAAATGGCGAAACTCAAGCGAACTTGTACGAGTAAAACTCCCGAATTTCCACTCAACCAACAGATAAAATGTTTCGTTCCGCAACTTTCTAGAAATTGTCCGTGCATTTACGTGTCTCGAGGCAAAAGGGGAAAATTCTTTCTAGACTGACGCCAGCGACTATAGGTGGACTCGCGCGTAGTTTTAAAATCGTTGTTGAAAATATGGAAATGAGAGAGAATATAATGAAGGATGCCTAGTGACACAAGTCGACACAAGTATCGTTCTGTCTTTGTTACTCATGGAATTCAAGGAAAAATATATAGAACGATATTTGAATCAATTTGTGTCAAAATGGATGGCACTCGAAGAGTGAATTTATTTCTTCCTCGTGAAATTAAAAGCTACAAAAATCAAGAGAAAATGTATAGTAATCTTTCAGCAATTCCACAACATAATTTATAGTTAATAACATAGTTACAAATTTTTATAAAGATGTCGCAGACAAACTGTCCAACTTTCTTATGCGTTATCAAAGGAAATAATTTTTAAAACGCTTAAAACTGTACAATTTTCAGACTGCTAAAACTCGGTGAAAAATTATTGCAGACAAAAAATTAAAAAATGCATTTCAAAGGAATTTATACTTAGCACATCTTCAACTACTTTTTTGAAAACTTTAATCTATATAGTTCTATATCTTACAAAAGATTATACATTGTTTTATTCGTTTAAAAGTTATGTACATTTAACATTGCAGTTTACTAGAAAAAGTTTAAGACATTCACAAAGGAGTATAATGTTTTAGTTACATGATTTTTTTTAACTCTTTTCACATTTTTTTTACTGAATTACGCTTTGAGCTAAACCTACAGTTTGTACATACAATCGATGTTGAAGTTTGACAAAAAATCATTGCCTCTCTACAAAAAAAAAGTAAAAAAAATATATATTAAAGCTTGAAGTTTGTATTTTAATGCTTTAATCGTTTTAGAAAAATATTTATTTTTATAGTTCTCTGTGCTTCAAGAAAGAGAACATTATTTTATTTTTTAAAATAATGTAAATTCAACACTATGTATGATACGATCTTTCTTGAAAAATTTAGGATATCTAAAACATTTTCGTGAAAATGAAATATTTCGTTTATCTTTTCATGTTATTTTTAGTTAAGTTACGCGACTTTAAAAGTATTTTTTAATCATCGGTTTATTTTTTGTTGAGTAATGTATAACGAACAATTAAATAGAGAATGTCGGAAAATACGATGTATGAAGGAGGTATTTTTTCTGGATATAAACAACCGCATTATCTTGACAGATAGGACGGAGAAACTTAGTCTACTTGACCGACTAACGAGCATAATTATAGGAAACTCAGTATTGCGCGAAATACACAGGTGTTATAATGATGTAACTTGGAAATTACCTTTAGGAATTGCTCACGCGGGAGCAATTAATACGCGACGCTCTCGGGAGCAATGCCTCAAAGCGTTAACCGTAATTTCAATTTATTAACGACTACTAACGCACAAGATACTCGCTAGCTTAGTAAAGAAATTGAGAGTAATGCTTGTTACAATAAGCGCGGAAAATTGTGGGTTATATGTTGAAAATTACTTTAACTTGGTATATACGATTTGCGAGGATGACATTAAATCACAGATGTAGTCAGCGTCTTTCTCAAAAGAAAGATTGAATCTTCTGTGCCACTTCCATCAAATATTAATAAAAGAAATTAAATTACAAAATTAATTTTCTTTCAAATAATTATTCGTTCATCTTGTAGACGATATAATGCCGATTTTTCTCAGAAAATATTTAAAATAATATATATTGTTATTGTTAATATGATTAACAAGTTGTCAGTAATATTAGTATTATATTAAAAAACATATTTGTTTTTTAGGGTTAAATATCTGAGGTGAAAAATTTGTCATTTGCTAGAACGTTATAAATTGACTCAATTGTCTGAACAATATTCTTGTAAATTATTTTACCATCGCCATTTTTCGTATCTATTGCACTACTTTTGTGCTTGTACTTAAAAGTATTGTCTAAATATATCCAATTGATTGGATGTATTTGGACAATTTTTGAGATGAAAAATATATTTAGTTTGATTGGACTATATAATTATGTAAGACACTCAAGCTAGTTGCTAGAATGTCAACATTTTTTACAGCATTGCTCATACAAGTTAAGTTTCTGTATCCGGAAAGATTTCAGAAAAGTTGCAAAAAATAACGTACATAGAAGGAAAAGGTTTGCTAAAGTATAAAAATAATTTTGTTAGGCTATTACAGTAATTATGTTAGGACATTTAAAGTGATTGCTAGAATATCAACTTTTTACTCAACAATATTACTCATCATGCCTGAGATTTTTACGTAATTATTTTAATAGACCAATAAAATTTTATATATATATTTTCAAATTTATATTTCACTAAATTTTTGAATAATTTAGTAAATTGTTCTTTCCATGTACCTTAGGAACATATCCAATAGTAAACGTGCGCGAAAAGAATGCGACCGCAATTTGAAAAAAATCGATCTTTTAAAAGTTTCAAGCGGTTCATTCTTAATTCAGACAATGTTCTACATTGTCTGATCCTCGTGTTGTCACGAGACAGTCTTATCCCATTCCGCAACGTCGTGGCGAGAAGCAAGCGGTAGTGGCAAGGAGTTACGGGCGCCTTCGACCCAGACGACCTGCACCCGACGTATCCTGGTGCCGGTGATATATATTCGAGAATGCCGTGGCGCGACACGCGCTGGCTCGAGAGTCCACTCGAGTTACGCGAGCAGCGTAACTATTGAAAATTATGTGACCGTCTTATCACGCGGCTTCACGTCTTGGGGTTAAAGTCTTCGGTACGATCGAACAAAGATGCGACACCTGCTCGCTTGCGGCTCTGACCTCTTATATTGGCAACACGCATTTCATCTTAAATACATGTTCATTACTGGAGGTATTAATCCTACTTAAGTACCACAAGTCTATTGTTCCATTATTATACAATACGACTTACGGTCGATTGTCTCTCAGTTAGTCCCATTATATCACTCTGACGTTTGCTCTATGCATCCGATGTGAACGAACGGACTGAATTGAGTTCCTGGTCAATTTATCATGGCGTTTGTACGCAGGAAAGCCAGATAGAAACGAAATGAAATCCCCCACCGTCTGGGAGACTACTAGAGGTCATACGGTCCGCGGAGATTTTACCTCCGAACGTCGAGAGCTTCGAGGCAGATGGTAATACATCTTTTCCTTTTTCTTCGGACTGTTGCAGATATCCAGGAGTTTTACGAGCTGACGCTGCTCGACGAGTCGAAATCGGTACAGCAGAAAACGGCGGAGACGATCCGCATCGCGGACAAATGGGAAGCCAGCGACGGGCCAATCACGCCGACCTTTGCCCAGAACGAGGTGAGTACAGTTATGAGACTGTTCTTTTCCATTCATATGCATGCACCTCGCTCAATTCGCGAATTGCATTGTGAATTTTTCCGAACAGATATAGAGAGGTGCGGCGCGTCGAAGCCGGTAATAAATCTCGATGAGACGCAATTTCGACGCGCGGCGAAAATGAATCTCTGTGTTCACTCGTTTCGTTATTCCGAACGAAATTGTTGAAATTGAAATCCCGACAATGTTGGCGCGGAAAATAGTACGAATATAATTCGCGCGAGTGTTGATCACACCTTGTGCGACGATGGCGTAATTAGCGTTGGTAATTATAATTGGCGAGTCGATTGGGCCGCAGGATATCATGCGGGTCCAATCAATCGGCCAGTCTACCGATTTTAATTGCTAATTGCGGACCGCCCGTCCACAATCGACATGCGCCGTCGCGACGTCATATCAACGCCGCTGTCATAATGGCGAACGATCGACGTGACATTCACCTGATGCGACGATTGCGTACAACAGCTGTATGCACCTCGCGGAACCTCAATCTCGTACATTTGGCTCTTCCTGGATTAATTTCATCGTAAAATAACGTCGCGAGAACTATGGAAGTATTTCATATACCTATATATAAATCGCCATTCCACAAAAAAACTGAATAAATGACATTTTTCAAGGATGTTACATTTATTGAAATTTACATGATTAATATGTTATTTAAAAAAATGTCGAATGTAATATTTGCTTAAGATTTTTTAAATTGTTTGAAAATGCTTTTACAGAAATGTAATACCAATTTAATTACTAAAACACAGTAATTAATTAATTATTTTAACTATTGAAAATATTGTTGTTCAAAATGTTTAATATTCTACATAAATAATTATATTCTTTCAGTAATAAATTGATTAGTATTAGATTTCCGTAGAGGTAATGATTTACAATAAAAAAATATCTTTGTATAACAATAAAAGTAATTATTTTCGTTCGTATTATTATGTTGTAAACTAAAGGGAATAATAATATAATTTAATATGAGTATTATTAAATTCTTTTATTTTTGTTATTGTCACATTTATAATTAATTCCCGCCTTTTTTCTCTTTCAATTTTTAAAATGTAATGATTGTTGTATACTAATTATAAATTTTCAATTTATTTCTCTGAAAAGAATCGTTACACTGCGACAAAATACATTGCGATAAAATACGTTGATATGTTGATCATGCATTAATTATTTAATCGGCATTATTTAAAATAATTTTGCAAAATCAATCAAACATACTAATTAAATGGCATATTGACGCTAAATGATATGCTTTTATTTCCAAACTGTAGAAGTAATTTCTGCTAAATTAATACGTTCTTCGATACGTAATCTGCATCGTAATCAATCTTTAACATAATTTTTCTTGAACAATTGTTCCTCACGCGTATAAAGAACACTGATACGGCCAACTGTCAGCAGTAGAGTCACGAAGAATGCGTGTGATGGAAAGTCTCTGGTATTTTTATCGTACATTTTCGACTTCCTTTGAATGCGCGGCGTTCACAAGCGACGTTTATATAGTGCATTCCAGACGTACATTTCGTCGCGTGAGTAGATATCCCATTTTCACATACGCACGCGAAAAACGTCCCATGAAATTCTCTCGCGAAAAGGAAAACATAAAGGAACCGCGTATTTTCATCTTTTAAAGCAGCGTTAATCGTTTAAGCTTAACGTTTTTCAAATATGCATAAAAGACACGCGAGACGCTGCAAGATCTGCTGCGACATTCGAAATTAAAGGAATATACAAATGCGTCGCGTAGAAACCGTGTTTCCGTCGATATTTTCCGATATTTTAAATAAAAGCTTTTCTGCATTTTCTTTACGATGCACAATTAAGAGAAAAGAACAAAGTGAAATATTAATGAGGCTTCCCGAGTTTGCGTTCATTTTACAATTACGATGCACACGCGTCGGGCAAAGGCAGATTATACCGCAGATAACAACGTTTCGTACTGAAGTATCATCCCCCCCCCCCCCTCTCTCTCTCTCTCTCTCTCTCTCTCTCTCTCGTTCTCTTCGTGCTTGTAATAAGCTACGGAATAAGCAAAGTGTCGAAACGCGGACGCAGTATGTACATTCACCTACACCGCATATGTGCACACCCTCTATTATGTAGTAGGTACGTCGTATTGATACGCTCAAGTAAACGTTATTGTATATATTGGCATTGCGATTGTATTGTTCGTCAGGCGCGATGTTTCTCCATAATTTGATTGAAATTTCGCCTGGCGCTTTGTTTTTAGGAGTTATTGATTTTAAGTATTTTATTTCTATTTCCGCCAATTAATTTTATGTAACTTCACAGATTGTTGTTTTAAAACAGTTTTATTTTAGCTTTTAGCAATTGTTTAATTTTGATTTAGTTGTAATATTTTACGATAGAAATTTATCATTTTTTGCTGTTACGTTACACACACACACACACACACACGTTGCAAGGACATAGAGATGAAGGGACTTATATGCTATGGATCAATATAAAATACGGAAACCAATCAGAGATACGTTGTACTCTGCTGTTAACACATAGTAAATATAATTCACAGAAATTACGTTATAATTAGAGTCTAATTACATTGCGCTTGATCATGGACCTTATCATCACTCTGCGCAGCTTAAGTAAAACAAAGCGTTAAATTAGTCTCAATTATGTCGAATTTGATTACGATATGTTAATGAAATATTTTCCGCGCGTCACGATCACATATATATATATTTTTAAATTTATTTTTTATTTATTTATTTTTTTTTTTTTTATTGAATTTTTTTCGTGAGAATCGTTGGTTTGCTCACAGTTTTATCAGAAATATGTAACGTATATGAAGAAAGAATGCGTAATGGATAGATTGGCTTATTCATCATATTTATGATACAGCATTTTTACCAGTATGTATTTTGCGAAATAATGCTTCCTATTCGTTTATTGTGATATTTTTCGATTTTGCAACCAGATTATTTATAATATTCACATTAAACAATTGGCATTCCAATTGCTTTATATATTTAGAGAATTTATAATAAATAATGATGTCACATTATTAAAAGAGTAAAAGAAATGTATAACGTCGGTTCTATACGTATGTACGAGGCACCACAGCAATTTTAAATTTAAATTAATTGAAATGTGAATTTGGTCAAGCCTTGTTCAGAACAATCGTTACATGAGAAATAAAAGCGTAGATTTCACATTATTTTAAAAAAATAATCAGGAACAGAAACGCAAATTGCAGCTTTATTAAATATTTAATAATTTCATATTTTATTGTTTATGTATCAAATGCTTTATTATTGCGACAATAATTAAAACTAACCGCCTAACTTAAATGCTTGTTAAACAAAATTGAGAAATGTTTTATTCCTATTGTAATAACCAAATGCCTGCTTTTTTATGTAAGGCGTTCAATAATAGACATGTTTAATATATACTTAATGTATACGACGGTTGATCAGATTTTCACCGAAAGAATATAATTGTTGCTTTCAACAATGTCGTTCTGTTAACCAAATGCAATTACCATAAAAAATATCGTCAAAAAAGGAAGAACATTTAATTTGTTCTCGAGGCGGAAAAACGATAAACCGACACAACAATGTTGAACGACACATATCGTCACCGCACGTCGTGCACTATCGTATATATGTAACGCTACATATAACGCTCTCTCAAAACAACAGTTAACAACTTCTAATGGCGCATTAAACGCGAACCATTACCGTCGTGAAACAACGCCGCTGTTCTTCGTTATAGTAGCCGCTTTGCCATTCGCTAGCCGTCAAAACTTCGATACACATTGCTGACTGGTTGCACATTTGTTCGTGGGTTTTACGAGATAGTTTAAATTCGGATAAATAGACGCGGCTCTAAAACAGCGCGTTTGCAACTGTGATAATCCTAATTATACACATAACAAAAACATTGTGATGTTTACGGCTAAATAACTTGACTCGAATCAAACGTCCATCCGAAATATAGAAACTTTATGCTGATTTTAAAAGATGCGAACGAAATTAAATGTACTTGAAAATCAGTGAGAGAATGACGTTGTAAAGTTACGAGTGAATGGGAGAATTGTGAACATGAAATAAACATGAACGATACTGTGTTGCAATATATTAAAATAGTAATAACATTTCTTGCATGCAGTGGCAGTTCAATATACATTTAGTGTCGTACTATAACCCGTGACTATAAAACGCACATGCCGTTTAAGATAAATACACGTTTTGATGATAGAAGGGAATGGGAAAATTGCGAGTATCTACGGAAAAGTTAAATAAAACCAACGATTATTTTATAAATTATAAAAGTTTTTATTTAAAGAATATATCAGTTTTAAACTACAAACATTAACATTTATATATTATCAATACAAATTATAATTTGTGTGGTGACGGATAATTCCGAATGATAAGGTTTTGTTTAAAATTATAGTTTGTATTGGTAATATCTGAATGTTAATTATTGTAATTTAAAACACACCAAATAAATGGAGTGTCTCTTGAATAAACACTTTGATTAATTGATAGATAATCGTCGGCTTTATTCATTTTTATTCAAGCGTTCCCTCATTCTTCCTTATATATTTTAGTTTTAGACGCCCGTCACGTTTCTACCCGCGCATAGAAAGGAGTTCGAAAAATATACTCTTTACCGCGTTCATTGGCACGTCTCGTGAATATCCGCGAATCCGGCTTTAAGGAGCGTGCCAGGCGCGTAATATCGCCAGCATTGTAAACGGACGATATTTTCCCTGTTTGTTTTCCATTACTACGCGAGAGCTGTAGTCGTCCTTCGCCGTCGCCATCGCTGGAATATGCATCGCTATGATAAGGGTGGGTAACCGCACTCGGTGTAATGGAAAATTCTGCGCTCACCGTTCGTTGTGAATATCCTGCCTGCCACGGTGTCCGCCTTCCCGGTTCTTCCTTGCTGAACGAACGCGATTTCCCGTGGGAAACGCTGAA